TGTGAGGCATGTTTTGGCTGGGCCAGATACTGTACTGAAGAGCAGTTTAAGTCATTCTTTTTACCATGCCAGACTATGGACTGGAGCATCAAGTGGATGGATGTCTAGAAAAATAATTCCACCTAACTCTGCTTTGTGATAAGCTGTCCTCTTACAATTTATTGTAACTAATAGCATTTTCTGAGAAAAGAGCAAAAGCTTTGGAAGCCATGGTACCTCCTTCCATTCCACACTCTGCTTGCTTTATAGCCTTCTCTTCAGTTTATTCCTTTCTGCTTTTCTGTATCATTTAATAACTTTTGGCTTTCCTTAAATCTTGCCTCAAGCATTCTTTTTATTTTCTCCTCCTAGCTCATTAATGGACAGATGACATTTTATTGGCATTAGAGCTGATGAAATCAATGAAAAAATGTGTGTGCATATATATATGTGTATGTGTAGATGTATATATATATATGACTCTATTATAAATTTATTTATAAAAAATGATAATAGATTAATTATCCTGATTTAGCCATTCCACAATGTATACATATTTCAAAACATCATATTGTACATGATTAATATATATAATTTTTGTCAATTTAGAAAATTAATTGAAATTAACTTAAAAATGAAAATAGACAAGCTAGGTTTCCTTTAATGAGCTCTAATCTTCTAATCAATATGGGTCTAAGGGTAGATTCTCAAGGTTGCAAATATGTGATCTATGCTCTGTAGAGGAGGAATAAGGCTGTTAAGGAGAAGCCAGTTCTACCTCTGATTCCATCAGCTATTTTCTTGGGCTTTAGTTTCTTCAGGAGTTTGAACAGAGGATTTGCAAAGTGTTCTCTAACTTTAATGTCCTATGATTATTTTTTTGAGTAAATATATGGGTTTATGACAAAATTAAAATAAGAAAATGAGCTTTCATAAGGGTGTAACTTGTTCAAAGATTTTTCCAGAAAAGACTGCCAATATGATGGTAAGGGTGTGACATAAAGCAGCTTAGAAGGGAAAATTGTCAGATTTTTCAAAACAAAAGCACATGAAAGCCCAAAGGAATAGTTAACATTTTTGAAATATTACATTTTCACATTAAAAATAATAATTGAGATTATGAAATAGGTAGGAGTGCATTTCCTTACCTAGGGATTCTGGGTAACTTAAGTTCATGAAGGGAAGCCAGTAGACTCAAGAACCGTATCTTCAAATCCCAGGACTTGCAAAGAAAGATCAAGAAATAAATTTAGTCTGGAAAGGGTAATGGACTTCTGATGGCACATTGCTCAGCTGTAAAACACAACTTACGTATTTTCCGTGATTTCCTTTTGTTATTTCATGTTTCATTGGCTCTAGAAACATTTGGTTACTCTCTCCAGAATTTAGGATTTTCAAAAGACTATAACAAGGAAAAAAATATCAATTAAGCAGAAAAATATATGTTGTGGAGTAAATAGCAGTGATACTATGAATATAATCCATGCTATAAAAAAAGCTTTGCCTGTGCTCACAAAACATGTGAACAAATATACGTTAGTGAAAGAAAATAACCTAATGGAAAAAGGAGAGCAAGTAGCACAGTAAACTCTAAGAAAATTAGAAGGCATCCTCAATGTGGCATGATTTCAGTGCAAGGAGAACTTGACGAGCATGAATTTGGCCTTGGGCAGATATATGTGCCCCCAAGAGAGGCAGCTGTCAGAATTGCTTCTTGCCGCCGAATTTGGCATGAAGAAGAGAATGTCAGCTAGTCCAGGACAAGCTCTAGACAGGATAAGCTGTAGACATTTTTAAAGGGCCGCTACTCATTGTAAAAAAAAAAAAAAAAAAATGCTTAAAGTACATAAAATTATACAGAAGAAAGTAAAAATATTCTGTAATGTGACATTCAGAAAGTTAATTCCTCTCAAAATTTTGCTATATTACTTTCCATTGGTGGAAGGCTGAGTCTTGGAGGAGAGAAGGGCAAACAATACTTCTGATGGGAGGAGGAAAGAAAGTTAGGATGGATTTGGAAGTGAGAGTTCAAGTTAGGACAAGAAGGACTTTTATTCACCCTGTAAAATAGAAAGCAAGCTATCTCAGTCTCATCACTATTTTCTACGTGACTTTTTTTCCCTGCTGCTAAATTTTAAGCTTGCTGGGCTGTGCTGTTTTCATCTTTGCTCCCTCAAAGACTATTATAGAGGCTGGTATATGGTAGACACTCAATACAAATTTGTTGAATAATCAAAGGCAAGTAAGTAACGCTACATACAAAAAAAGTAACAAAGACCACGAGGAACTGGAGCTCAGTACAATTTCTAATGAAAGTGCAAAAGTCTTGTAAAAGTGCTTGGGGATTCGGGAAGTATAAAGAGGGGTAGACCCAGCCTGGGTTTGCAAATGACAAATAGGTAGAATGACAATTACTTCTCCATTATGCTTCATTAATCTCCCACAAGGATCTTGTAATTGGAAAGGGTAAAGAGTCACACGCAAGTGGAGACCCAGTAAGAGAATACATCACTTATTTAAAGGTCTTAGAAAAAGGTACACATGTTGAAGTGTTTAAAGTATCACAGAAAACAGCAGTGCCAGAATTCTGGAAATGTGAAAACACTAAACAATTACTTGGGAAAAATGAATTCTAGACATTGTGGTCTAGAACGGGGGTCCCCAGCCTGTGGTGAGTTGTGTAATTATTTCATTATATATTAAAATGTAATAATAATAGAAATAAAGTACACAATAAATGTAATGCACTTGAATCATCCCTAAACCCTTCCCTTCCCCCCAACCTCCAGAGGTGGTGGAAAAATTGTCTTCTATGAAAATGGTCCCTGGTGCCAAAAACATTGGGGACCACTGGTCTAGATACCAAAGTTTTCAGCAAAGTTCTAGAATAGATCAATCAGGTAGAGCCAACTTGGCTGAATGCTACATTTACCAGCTTTCAGTGAGTTATATAACCTCTCTAGGCCTCAGTTTCCTCACCTGTAAAATTGGCATACTCTTAGTATTTGTCTTATAAAGATGTTGTGAAGATTAAATCCTCTTAAGGCATATATAAGATTCTGGCCACATAGTAAGTGCTCCCTAAGATTGGGTATCTTCACTAGGAATCATACATTACAAAAACATTTTCCATTTTTTTCTGAAAAAGTTTTTGGGTAGCTTATTCTAGGGTATTTCATAGGTATGTTTGAATGGTAGTAAAGCCCTTGACAAAATCTTTACTGCTTTTCTCACAAGCATAGCAATGGCATCCTTGGGGAAGAGATATTTAACTAGGAGAATATAATAAAAGAGGGCAAATAATTTAGTGCCCTTTCTACCCTTGAAAGCTGTACAGAATACTGGAAGAAGTTACAGTAAAGATTTTAGCTTATTATAAACAACTTAATGATAGTTTATCCCAAATCATTAATTTTAGAGTTGAAAGAAATTTAAAGAGACTTCTAGTCCAAACATTTATATTATAGCTGGAAAATTGAAGCTAAGAGAGGTCCAGTGACGTGCCCAAAGGCACAGCGTGTAGCCTAGTCAAGACTTGAACTCACAATTTTTGGGTATCAAATGTATTTGAAGCCATTCTTTGGTAAGAGGAGAGTAAAAGTAAAAATCATATTTGTTTCTCCCTCTAGGTACTGTCTATATGTGGCTATTTTCTCACCATTCAGAATTCAAAATCAAGCTGCTGTCAATACCTACTGGCTGACCCTAATGGTGCAGGTAGTGAGGTTACCTGTTCTCATTCCAGGCACTGCCTTGCCCACCTTCCCACCTGGACTCCAGTGGTATTCACTGAGAGGTTTAGGCAATTTCCTTAAAGCTACACAAAAGCTTAAGATTTGGGGCAGATTGAGTATATTTGTCTGATTAACATAAAGCACAAGCTTTACTGCCTGGACTGTGAATTGTAAACTTGTGGTCAGAATTTTTTTTTAAATTTAACTGCCTTTAGATTACACAAGGCCTCTTTGATTTGATAGATTCTAGCACCTTTCTGCATCTTGAAGTTGTTTAAGTTGTGATCCCTAACACAGAACTCCAAAGACGTTCCACATGAATATGCCTTCATCTCCAGACACTCTTGTGCACATTCAGCATTTCTTACTTTCAGTCTTTTCCTTATCAGTTTTCCTCACTCCCTCCTTTTTCCCAGCGAACACCATTCTTCTTCACACTGTGTGCTACTTTCTTGCCTTATTGGGATCTAATATGCCATGGCTTCAGACAACTGCAGAATATAAACGCTTTTGCAGGGAAGGGTGGGTTCTGGTCTCGGTGCTTGCTATTTTCAGGAGGAATGGGCAGTCCTGTGGGCTAGTGGAGGAGGGCGTGAAAGAGTGGGACGGCTTCAACTCTGGGCTACAACCGACCCTTCCCTATGGTGTTCAAAATCAAACACTTCACCACAATATGAGTTATTTCCCTTCTGAAATTCTCATCTATTCTAAATGAGAAACTCATATTTTTCAAATTAATATAATGTTGACACCCCTTCTTGGGATAAAATAACCCTGGCCTTTTAGTGTTAATAATGCATTATCCTCACTGCATTTAGGTATATTTGTAAACTTTTTTACATTAACTGCTACTGAATGGCCCCTGGCACAAACTGCTATTCTCTAATTTTAAATTTAGCTCTGGACTGCAGGAAGTGATGAAAGAAGTTTTGGCTCACTCCCACTCCACTGTACTGACTTATTAAAAAACCCCAAAACATTTATTGAATGCCAATTATGCTCTGGGCACTGTATTTATCTCCGTATTCCCAGTGTCTAAGACAGAACTTCTGCCCTGGAGGAGATGACAACATTTCTGTGGTTTTTAGTTTTATGAAAACCAATGGAGAAGAATGTCAACAAGAGATGGAAGAGTCTGGGAAAGCTTCGTGAGTCAACTAATGCTTTGTGAAGTCTGGGATTTGGGTGTATAGAGGATCTAGCGAAGGTGTTCTAGCATACACAGAGGCATGGAGCTATGACTGGCAATAGAAGAGAAGAATAAGTTGATTCTAGAGGGAGTTCAGCATGGTATTAAACATTAACAATGAGAAAGGTAAGTAGGAAAGTTAGGTTCAGAAGTTTATTCCTCAAGAATTTATATGGCATTAGACTATGTTCCAGAAAACTAAACTCATTTGCCTATTCACCATTTCTTGAACATGTTGTTTGCCAGGCACTGTGCCAGGGCTTTAGAATAAAGAGGTGAATGAGATGAAGTCCATTCCATTAAGCAGCACACAAATTAGTGATCGTAATTCAAGATCCTCCAAAGGCAACAAGAAGCAGCACACCCTGCCAACGCTATTTGGGAAAGGTGGCAGAGGACAATTTGAGGGAGGGTAGAGATGGGGTAGAGGACAGTTGTCCATTTGTTAAAAGAAATTTCCCCAAGCCTATATTATGCCTAAGCCTCTTTCTAGATATCACATAATAAATATCTTCTGTTTTGTTAGCACTTACACATTCACTCATTTTTAACTTAAAGTTCAAAATTAGATCCCTATTGTGTGTCAGGTATGCTGCTAGATGTTGGGAATTCAGAAATGACCAAAATAGACTCATTGAATATCCTTCCTGACTTAATAATCCACCATGGCTAGTGAATGTACAGAGCGTTATGGGACTACATGAGAGACAGAGAGACAGGCACTTAACATGGATTTAGGAGGGCAGACTGGGGAGAGATCTGGGAGGGCTTCTTGGAGGAATCTAAGCTGAGGATAAATTAGAGGTTTTCAGATAAAAAATAAGGTGAAAATTGTCTTAGACATTGGGGACAGCATATAAGAAGATCTGAAGAAAAGAGAAGGTACGGTACATTTAATGGAATTCAGAGATGTTCATTGTAATAAAAATATTCTGTACCTTCTTGCTTTTGCCCTAAAAGGCCATTTCAATGGAGTGATATGTTAAAAAGAAATGAAATGCTAATACTCAAAAACCTTGGCACTGTAGTTAGTCACATAATACATAGCAAAATTTCTAAAAGTTCTTTTTAGACATCGTGTCTGTTCAGGTTCTTTAGAGGTAGAGCCTGAGACAGGGATTGGGGTGCAGATGATTCATTCAGGGAGTGTCCTTCAGTTCAGGAAGAACCTGTAAACGAAGTATGAAAATGAGACACAGCTGAGAAGGGTGTTGTTTCAGGTGAGATCTGGCCTCAGCTGATCCAGCAGGGAAGGCTCATAAACCACACCAGAGGATTGCCCCACCCAGCCCTCCAAGAAAGGAGCCTACTCTTTGGTACCTACAACAGCCAGTGATTGACAGAAGTTACATGTTGGGCATATGCTGGAGTGCAGTGTGTTTGTGTGTGTGTGTGTGTGTGTGTGTGTGTGTGTGTGGGTGTGTGTGTGTATAGCAGTAGGGAAGGAGCTGGAGAGGTAAGTAGAAAGCTGAGTGATGGGGAACATAGAAGAATACCCAACTGTGCTCAGGATGATTTTAGAAAAACAGAATTTCTCAGATGGAGGTCTGAAAATGCGGACTGCTCTGTCTCAATGTGGCTCAGAGGACTTGGCAGTTTGCGTTGGCCTCTGATTTGTCCAAAGTGAATTATGGATTCCTTAGAGAATCGTAAACTTGGTTTTACAGTTGCCTGGAGGTTAGGGCAAGGGAGAATTTGTTTCTGTTTTGTGATCCGGGTTGGAATACATACTCCTGCAAAGATTCTGTTGAGTTATAAAAATAGAGAATGCTGCCTGAATCCATGTACTCTACGTGTCTGCCATGTTTACCATACGCCTCAAATTTGACCTTGCAGAAAGAAATCACTTTATTTGTATGTTAATTTCCAAATATGTTTCATTTTTTAATCTCACTAGTTGGGTATCCTTTTTCTAGTTTAGAACTTTACTCAAGATAAAGACATCCTTTATTTTTCTTTAGAGTTGATGTCCTTTTTATGATGATTGTTAGTTAATAAGACATCTTCTTTTATGGATAGTACATAGAGAACCTAATTATTCTGTTTAGACAACTAGTGCTTAAAAAGTAATAGTGATTTATTCAGTTTCCTGATTTCTGGAGTCTGTGGTTAGATGGTATATGTGTATAAACCACCATTCCTCTTTCCAATATTGTTCTTGACCTTGTTGGATGTTATGATGGGGAAAAAAAAAGTAGAAATGATTTCTACTTCTGAGAAAATGAAAAAAAACTAGTGAGGATGAATAGAACAAAAGCAAGTTAAAATACTGCCTATTCAACATCAATGCCACAAAACTTACAGACGTGAGGCAGTCTATGAATGTGTTGCCACAAGAGGCCCTTAATTCATCAGAGGGCAAAACTTAGTGTTACATTATCATGAAACTGAATGACTTAAGGCATATACACTTGATTTTATACAACATTTGCCACTCAGAGTGCTTAGAAAAGATGAGTAAATGGCTCATATCATTCAAGTGCTGTGAAGTTGCTTTGGAAACAGAACAGATGTGGTGGATGTGTATAGACAATTGGCAAAATGGTCAATGTGAACTTGTTTTTGTATTCAGGTTTTTCAAGCATGTATGGGTGAACACCAGAATTGCCCATAGGCTTTAGTAATACTGTTTCCAGGGCTCAGCCCAGATCCAGTGAATTAGAATTTTTTTGGTTCTAGATTTGCATTTTCAGAAAGCTACGCAGATGGTTCTAATGTTTAGTCAGAACTGAGAACTGTGCACTGGGGGTTTATTTAAAGCTGATATATGGCAGATCTAGAATATAGCTGTAGAGTTTTTATTCCAACCCAAGCTTCTGGTTTTCCTCCAAAAGTCTGAGGGGCCAGTTCCTCAATATACTCTGTATTCCCTGTCATATACTTTTGTGGAATCTGGGAAACATGTGAGTGGGGAAGAATTGATGACTAATCCATTTATACTAAACCGTTTCCAGAACCACCCAAAGGATAGCCTAGAAATACATCCACTCTGGGGTTATCTCTGAACCCCAGTAAATCCATCCAAATCTTATTTCTTCATTGTCTATGGCTGACAGCTGCTGGCGATGATTCCTGAGTCCTGCAGGTTTCCTAGGATATGGCTGTAGGTTCAAGAGCTTCTTCAGGAATACCAGAAGGGTTAGAGAATCAGTCAGAATCAAGGCAGTTGAGGTTAATTGATCTGGACTGATTGTGGCTTCTATTTTCACAGGAAAAATCAAAGTGACTTGTCCAGGAAAACTTTCTTACAGAAGACACAAAACTTTAAAACTCTTATTCATGAGAATAATACAAGAAACACAATCAGTGGAATTCTTGTAAAAAAATAAACTGGAAGAAAATATTTGCAACATAAATAAAGGGTGAAGAATGACTATCCTGACTTTCCATAATATATTAAGTTCTGTTTACTAATAAGAAAAAAGTAATGCCCCATTGGGAACGTAGAAAAAGTGTATAAACAAGTAACTCACAGACGAAATAACAAATGGCCAAGAAATTGAACATGCCAAACATGTTTCTTGCCTAATTGTTTTTCAGTTGCTGTTCCCCCTGCTTGAAACCATATTGCCTACAGATATTGCACAACCCAGCGTCTAACTTCCTTCAGGTCTCTGCTTTAATGTCTTCTTGTCAGAGATATCTCCATACTCACTCTATGTAACTATCATGCTTCCAAGTTACAATCTTCTGTTCGCTACCATATTTGACTCATGGAATCTATAAACACCTGACATGTGTGTTTATTTGTATATTGTCTTTTTCCCTGGAGTAGAATATAAACTCCATGAGAATGAGGATGCTTAGCTCCATATCACCAGTACCTAGAAGAGGCCTCTCATATTGTAAGAACTCAAAAAAGGGTTGTTGATTTAATAAATAACGGTTATCCAATAATTAAGGAAAGTAACATTAAAATGACAGTGTGAAATATTTTCCCTGTCAGGTTGGCATTTTTTTAGATTAATTATATCTAGGGTTGGTAAGGATGTAGTGAACTAGATACTCCCAGATACTGCCAAAATCGTCCTCCAAAAACTATGCCAATTATAAACTAATTAATTGAATATATTAAATTTAAAATTTACATACCTTTTGATACAGCAAGAAAGCATGCACAAATGTTTCTTGTAGCACTAATAGTAATAGCAAAAACCTAGAAGCAAACTAATGTGCACCAATGGGAAAATGGTTATATTAAATCCATATGATGTTACAGTATTCAGCCATCAAAAAATGAGGCAAATTTATATTAATAATAATGGAAATTTCTCATATATATACACAGATATACATATATAAACAAATGCAAAATGATTCTGTTTATTAAAAAGTTATATGTTTATATGTAATATATGTATAAATTCCACAAGAAAACCACAAGAATGAAACACACTAAACCATTTACAGCAGTTCCCTATGGGGAGGGAAGGATTTGGGTAGGGTTGGGCTGTAACAGGGATTATACTTGAAATGGTTTACATAATTGCCTATTTTTACTGCAATTAGAATGTACGCATTGCATTACTTGAGACATAAAAGTAAAGTTGGATCAAACAAGTTAATATAAAATCTTGAACTAAAGAAGAATGCCTTCTATAGTTTTTAATACCACACCTCCAGGATGTGGGACAGAAAAAAAAGGACTGCCAGTTCCATTGCATCAAAGAAGGGTTACAAGATGCAGTCACTTGCTAATGACTAAGGGAAATTGCCTCTCCTCACTTTGATGTTCTTTGAGACTTTCATGACCCTTCACAGGGACTTCTGGGTCACTATGCTCTCCTCTTCCTTCTGAACTGCCCTAATCTCTGGTCACTTGAGCATCTCTGTGAGTCAGATTTTAATGATGAGGAATTTATTTTTTGCTAGAGAAAGAGATTCTCCTAGATAATTCTAGTCATGTGAGGGTAGTATTAGTGGATTTTTGGGAATAGTCTGGGAAAACAATCTCTTTTGAAAGAGTTCCACTTAGTGTCTAGGAAGAAAAACCAGGATAAATATATATCTACCATTTATTGCACTCCCAGCAGAATCTCAGGGAACATACTTTTAGAAGATATGGTTTTCACAATTTGACTAGCTTGTGACCCCCTACAGGATAGCCAAACTACTCTGTTTGCCTG